GGAAGAATCGGCCTATTATGGAAAAAGTGGCTGGCGTAGTAGGACGAAGCTGGGGTTATGATCATCATAGGAGCACTCGTGTGGCAATACGCTTTACGCCTGCAAAGCAAATCCCTGTTGAACTAGCCGTTGCTCTTGAACCTTCCTTCCTGCCTTTCTCTGGCATCCCAAGCTTTGTATTTGCTTCCAGTGTTCTGATTGTATTTCGGTTCTTTCTATCCTGTCCATCTTTCCTGCTTTTGTTATTGATTTATGTTTTTATGCTTGCTGTTTTGTTGTTTCATCATTCTTTATGTGTTTGTTTATTTCTGCGTGTTATTGGTTCTTTCACTGGTGCTTTCTTAGCCTGCTTGCTTTCTGTACGTATGGCGTTCTTTATGTCTATTGTTTTGTTCATGTCTTTCTTTCTCTCCTTATTTATCTGGTTCTTTGTGCGTTTCTTAGTTCTGTCTTTATATAATCATTTCGTTCTGTATTTTTCTTGTCTCATGTAGGTAGTTTGTTCTTTCTCTTCTTCATCTTCTTCGGGCTTAGGTGGCCCCCATGGACCACCCGGCGCACTGCGCCGAGCCCTCGCACTATCCCGCGGTCCAGTCGGCACCACCAGGTACAGGAGTACTCATTGGGGACTCAGCTACAGATGATTCCTAAAATGCCCGTTACAAAAGATTCCTAAAATGCCTGTCACGATTGAATACTCTTTCCCACCTATGGCTGTGAGACTTAGTACCCAGTGGCCAGGTCCCTGCTGCTCAGTGACAGTTCGAGACGAAAGAAACAAACTGAACAACAAACAGCCCCCGCACATAATCAGTACAGACCCTGTCTTCTGAGCCCGTGCCAGGGTACCATTTGTTTCTCTCTTTCGTTATCGTTCTTTCGTTCTTTCTTCCTTCTTTCTTTCTGTCTTTCTTTCGTTCATTCTTTATTCATCTATTTTGTTATTTCTTTCCTTCTGTCCTCCGGCTCGGGGCTCCAATATGTTGTTTTTTGGTTCATCCCCGCTCCGGGGGCTACTACTATCGATGTTTACTACAAAATCCAGAGTTTTGATTTTGTGACACCAATTTTTGTTTCGATACCTAGTTGTTTTTGTTGATGCCCATTTGTTGTTTAAACCCCTCTCCCTACAATTAGAGTCCCTATACATACCCAAAGCGTGACGCCGGCCTGGTAGTTGTCAACGTTACCACCTGTGAAGCCTTTGAGCCTGGTGACCGTCGCAACCACCTGGCTCCCGAAAGGGTTTAGCGTGGCTTTGTTTAGGGTTTGAGGGTTGAGGTTTCAAAACTACCCGCAACGCTGAAAGGTCAAAAGACTTTCTCACTAGATCCTTTTCATAAAAAAAGGCCTCTCCCTGACGAGACTTCATGACGTAACTCTTATCGCTGAATGAGCCCTCTGCTCTGAGAAGCGCCCCTCCCTCAGTATCATCCTCTTGGTACAGCTCAAATGTTGAAGTCAAGGCGAACATGGCCTTTGTGATCCTTCCAAACTTCTTGCCATTTGCCCGCAAAACATCATAAGTAGCTGTCATTGCAAAAGCCTGGCGCTCCAAAGTGGCAATCTGCTGGCCGTCCGCGGCTGAGACAGTCAGCTTATCCCATACTGGCATGCCTGGAATGGGCACGCGGTTGCCACCGCCGATGCGCAGAATGAGCTCTCCTTCTGGAGTTTTGACTTCAAAGTCTTCCCCAGACATGGCCAGGCCCTTCTCTTCCAGCTCAAAGGCTGTCAAATCGCGAGTCATCAGGTCGGCATCTAGAGGCTTCACACTTTCGGGTATGATCGGGCTGGCTGGCTGCGGAGTAGGGGTTCCCACAGCTTCATCAAGCATCTCCAACCAGCTAGCCTTCATCGCCACTGATCGCAGTTGTCTCGGGGCTGCAGTTGTGCCAGCCGGGAGCTGGAAAGCAACATGCCAGGAGGTGGCCAGGCAAGCACAACATAAAAGCCGTAGTCTGCGAGCCCTGGGATCCATGGCCATTAGCAGACCACAGCTGCCACTGGGCGTTGGGAAATTTATTTCAAAGTCAATTACCTTTGCAGATTGATCCAAGTTATTACATGACGTCTTGCCCGTGACACTGTACACTACATGCTGGTGTTCGCATACCTCTTGGAATTGAGCCAATATGGATGTCTGCTGAGCTAGTTTGACAGGATGTCGCAGAAAGCCAGCGACATTGGAAAAGGAAAAGCATCAAGGCAGACACAAAAGCCTCTTCCCCAGCCGCCCCGAGCAGATAAAGGCACCTCAACTTTTGCACACAGCACAAGCCGTGCCTCTAGCGTTCAAATGAACTTGCCTTGCATGCAAGTGCCTAAATGTCTGGACAGTAAGACCCAAACTGCTCTTCTGGGAGTCGGACCAAAACTAGAGAACTACTTTTGAGCCGAAAGCAAAGCCGGAATCGACAAATGTTCTGCTCAACTCTGAAACTCCCTCACGAAGCTGCTACAAAATCTGAATTCTCTGAGTGCACAAAAAAGGTACCTGTGGAGCCGCAGCACAGGAAGCCAAAGAGCCTCTACAGCAACAGGCACCAGAAGCTGAAGTACGCCAGTGGACGTAGCACGCTAGAATACACGTGTAGGAGCATCATCTGCACAAATGAACTTTTTGAAGCCATCCGGAACCTTTTGAAGCCATCCGTCAGAAAACCCAGAAATTTGCAAGTGCTGGTCACAAGATGAACGTGAAGGCAGGTTACCTGACTAAAAGGGCACATACTGCAAGAGGTCTGTCATGGCAGAATGTGGGTCCTTGTTCCTCGGCTTTTACCATGGGAAGTTTCCCTCCCCAAATCCTGGATTCCTATGCCCTAACCCGCGCTAGGTTACCCTTAATTTCCCTTAATTGACCTGAACTGGCACTAACTGTCTCTAAAGAACCCTCATGCCAGGGCAGTCGTCCTCAAGGATGGCTGCTGGCCCGCGACCGTTGCTAAGAATCATGCGGGGCCAACTCGCAAAAATGGCATCTCAAGTGCACCTACGAATCGCTGAAAGGCTGGCATAGTGGTATAGGCGTGGGGAGCAAGGTGAACAGTTTTTGGTTACCGTACCAGCTTCTTCAGTCTGGAACCAGATCTTAAGAAGCAAAGGAAATGCAACAAACAATGTTCCGTTTTCGGCCGAGACATTCGCAGGCGAATGTACTTCCGGCACTTCTACGACTAGGCGCTTGCTGCTCAACCTTCAAGACAGCTTTGGGATATGAAATAGGGAACCTCTAAGAGTCAAAGGTAATTACTTGCCTTTAGTTAGCTAGGATTGAAGGAATGGATCTTTATAGTAGTCCCTGTATAACCCCTTATAATAGTTTCCATTGTCTTTTCCATTCCTTCATTCCCAGCTAACAAGGCCAGATTATGGAATCTCTTGGCAAACCATGGTCTTGTCAACAGCGTTTTCGTAGGAGGCTCACGGGCATCCATGCATAACTCCGTCTTAAATGAGCCTCTAGCAATCAGGAGCCATCCCTGATTTCTTAGGAGCCCGGTTCCTTTCCAGCATGCATTCATGCCGCGAGCCTCCGCCAGAAGCTCCACCGGAAGGCACAGCCCACCATGTAGCAGCGTATCATGATGCTGTCCGAATGGTAGTGACCACTGCATCTTCAAGCAGCAAATCTGGAGGGAGAGGAGGTCATGTGCAAGAAGCTTTCAGTCTTGCTCCAACTTCCAGCCCAGAAGGGATGGTGTGATAAATTTGGGGCGACCCTCAACATGCTCTCTGCAACACATTGTCGCAGCACCACTGCGAAGTAGGTAGAGCCATCAGAGCAAGTCAGGGAGAAGTCTGCTACTGGGACTCACAGCATTGGCCACTGCAAGGTGGTATCTGCCCTGACAAAGACATGCCTCCGACATGCATGTGTGCCAACCTGCAAGGATAGGGTCCAGACGCTAAGGCCTTCTGCGCAAGCTTCAGGAAAGCTTGCAGGTCCTCGCACTGCTGCCCCTGCGGGGGACAAGTGTTTCAGGCCACCAGCCACACCATGTGATCCACTCCGCCAGGATCAGGAGCACAGGAGCTTCAAAGGTTAGGATAGTTCCATCACCGAAGTGCAAAAAAAACTACCAAGCAAGCTAGGTGGTTCCAAAAGGCAGACAGGTGAGAGTCAGAACAATTTTGTCACGATTTCGCGTCTACCACGTGGAGTCTTTCACAAGGAAGGCCGCAAGAGCTCCGAGGGTGCCTGGGGTCAGCACAACGCCCTGCCCACAGGCATCCTCGCACCGGTGTGTCTTCAACATCACCGGATTACAGACCCCAACAAGTCTCATCAGGCCATGGAGGACAAGCACCCCTGTTTTTGCCGCGCGCTTGTGCGACAGCACTTTTCAGGGCCCTCAGCAAGCGTGGCCAACATCGAATTCTTCAGAAAAGTTCAAAACTTGAAGCGGCCAAGTATTCTAGAAATACATCTGCTGCAGGGCTTGAACAGCCTTGAGGCCAATTCGTCAGCACAACTCCGCCAGTAGTGTCAACCGGCATGAACGACCCCCTGTATCAGAAGCTTGTTCGAGAAGAACTCATGCTTGGCACTGATCTTAAACCACCTGACACGCTCCTCAGCTTTGCCCAAAGAAGCCCGCAGGCTCCTCAGGAAGCCCACATGTCAACATGCCACTCATTTAGGCAAAGCACCTTCGTGCGGCAGGAAAAGTTGTTACGTGCAGAAGACCACAGCAAGTCCCATGTGCATCCGTTGCTGGAACCTCGCTGCCACAAGCATAAGGACAATCAGTGCTGTCATAGCCTCATGCAGTCCTATCCAGCCACCTGTGGCCTGCCCAGGCCCTGCATCCAGGCAGCTGAAGACTTCCACACAAGCTTCGCCATTAGGAACAATTCCGGCTACAGGCTCCTCGGCTTCAACATAGACATGGCAAGGACTGGAACTCAAGTAGTTCAAACTGAAGCTGCTCTTTGCGGGCAAGCTTCCGTGAAGCTGATACCACTCACATGGATTGTGTGGATGGGCAGGAACCAAGTCATTGCTTCACCTCTCACGGCAGTGTCTGGAGCTCTGTTTGCAGCTGAGCCAGTCTGTCACACTCAGAAAGCACCTGGCTGAAGCTCCAGGTTCAGCACGTTGCGTGCGACCTCCTCCTGTGCCTTGTGCGGCCCGTGTGAGTGATGAGGCGGCTTCCTAGCAGAAAGGGCTCTCCACTTGGCTCTCTCTGACGTTGCACTCAAACAGATTCCATGCATTACAGGCAAGCATCCAGCCCAGGCTGCTCGGAATCAGGTTCATCCAGCAGCCTACAAAGGGCATCGAGCGGCGATGTTCCTGGCACCTCAAGCCGCGCTATGTAGAGTCATCAAGCTTAACAATGTCTAATGTCCGCATCTCCTAAGTCAGGGACTGTTCTTGCCATTTTGCTTCCATGTACTTGAAGAGGTCGGGTGTCCAATCGCCTGTAGCGGCCTGGCCATCCACTGCTTGTTGCTGAGGTGATCAAAGGACAAAATACCCGGTACTTGTGTCTACAGCGAATCCTTCTGCCGCCTTGCCGAATGCATCGAGCAAAAACCCAAATCTACAACAGTCCTCCGGACCCACGCTCTCCAGACACAGCAAATAAACCCTCGCAATGGCTACAACTGCTGGCAGCCGCGCTAAGGCTCTCACGAGCGCATGCAAAAAGAATGCGCAACTAGGGAAACTTTTTGTTTGTGACGGATTCTGCGCTTGGAGGACAACCGACTTCCACACCATTTAGCAGCCCAGGGTCCTCTGGCAAAGGCAGGTCTCTGAGACCGTTTACACTTTACACATGTTAGCGTCAAGCTTGAGAAGTCTCCAGAATTCTGCTTCCGCATTCTTTCGCTGAGAAGTGACAAGTTTCAAGCACAAAGCAGCTCACAGCTCCTTGCCTGCGCGTGTGCCCACATCTGATCCACCGCAAATCCCAGACCAACATTCTCTGCATATGTCCCTGGACATCAGGTGAGGTTGAGCTACAAATAGATTGAGCCTCCACGATTGTACTGAGCCCACCACGAATGTCTGAGTAGCGGTCCTCGCTGAGGCCCCCCAAGCTCACGTGGGCCTAGCAGTCGAAGGCAAGCGACGCCATGTACAGGACAGATTGGAGATACGGTCCCACTAGAGTTCCTTATCCGTACTGACACCCGGATCTCCAGCCTGCAACATGGTGGCAAAGCTTTGGTTCGGATTCTTCTCCTCTTTGCGAGGATGGCACGAAGGGAGGACAGTACAAGGCCGATAATCTCAGAGTACTTCCAAGCTAGCCGGCTTCTCCTGCCATGAGAGAATCATCTTGGCAAGCTCATAATCTCCAATGTCCTGAAACAGCATCAGTGCGCTGAGGCAGTCAGCTCCATGACCTTTACAGGAGTAAAGACCCTTTGTTCCGAATCCAAGCTTCATTCGTGGCAGTCGCCAGCAGCTCTTCGAGCAGCTTTGGACTCAGCTGCCACGCATCTTGAAGGCTTTGTTCAGGATCTGCCAGGAGAGCTCCTGACAATATCGCAGGGAGGGCAAGACTTCTTGGGTGTTATCTGGGGGCCAAAAAGAAGTTTTGGGGAGCATCACATGGCTGAGCGTCTCAAGCAGGCCCCTCGCAGCGTGTCACCGACGTCAGGAAATCTATGGGCCACTTCCAGCATGGCCTGACAGAGCCCATCATGGACACGCAGCACTTTCAATAACCTTGTGCATTCTTCTGCTCAAGGTAAGCCACATAAACATCAGATAGTGACGTGCCATTCATCAACTTCTTTTCGCAAATCTTTGAGGGCTCCTGAGACACAGCATGGCTTGACCGGGATGGTTTCTGTTGAGCCGACGCGCGGTGCTGTTTACAGGTTTGTGAGTCTCAGAACTGTGTGCCCGTTCGCCCCTACACATTTCATCGACATGGTTGTTTGCACATCCCTCGTACGTTTCGGGTCCTGTATGCCATAGATCTCCGCCATCAGGGATGCTTCAATAGCAACCGTCATATTTGTGGCCAACTTTCCGGAGTAAAGAAACCTCAGCCAGATGCGATTTCCAACTGCTTTTTGGTGCGAGCCATCTGTCCCATGAGCACCTCAAAAAAGCCTCGACGGCTGCTGAAGAGAAGTTCATGACCTCCCACCTTATTGGTCAAAAGCAAGCAATAGATTCAAGAGATGCCAACTGGAGACACTGCGCGGATAGCCCTGCCTTCCGCCCGCATGTTCCACCTGATGTGCCAAGGTCGGGGACCAGCCCTGAGTCATCAGATATAACAATATATAACATATAATCATACACTTTTATATATTATATATTGTATATTATATATTACAGATATATAATTCAAAATAATACAATACAATATAATACAATATAATATATATTATATTATATATACAGAAAAATAGGACAACTCACTACTGTCCATGCCATTGGGGCCTTTACTTCACTCACCCTCTGGATGTACCAGGGGCTCTGGAGGACATACTTGCATTGGTGCACTTGATTATTTATGCAGGGACTTTCGCAGAACTTGCGGGCTCAGGCTTTCCTCAAGGCACCAACCCAATCTGAATTTGAGAAAAGGCCTCATGCACTCCAAAACATCCTGACAATGGAACAAAGAGCCTTGGCAGGGCCAGCAGGAGATTCACGCAATAACTCCTAAGAAGTCTCGCACTACTAGCTGACTAGCTAGCTCTGCATCAGTTGAGTTCCTGTAATGCGGGAAAGCACTCCACGCATGCTTTTGGAAGCCATTTGATGGTGTGGCCAGCCTTAATGCTGAACGCTGTCCGGAGCGTGCGTTCTTGTTCTTCGTTGCATGCACTTGTTCAAAGGGCTGTCCCATCTGGAGCTTCAACATTAGAACGTTACTTCCTGAGGAACCCTGGCCGGTACTCTGCTCTGCATGCCAGCTCCTTGCATGCAACAGTCAAGTCCAGTTAGATATTAGCCCGAGGCACGGAAAGCAGCTTTGAGTACACGCGGAACTCCGCCTTCACGGAGCCATTGCTGCAAACAGCCTCGCTCTGCTGGGCACTCATGACCAGAACAATAGAAACCTTGCAAACGACGGAAATCCAAGGTTCATGCCCCAAACCCTAAAATCCTTGGACCCTAAAGCCCGAAACCGCCACCCGAAACTCTTCAGTAAGCAGGTGCTCGCAGGCTGGGGATGCCCCCCAAGGATTCCTCCCCAAGGATCCCTCAATTGTCAGTCACACTTCAGCCTTTCAGCTGCCAAGCTTCCACTTTCAGATCACCATCCTGATTGAAACAGGACCTTAGCAAAGCACCCGGTAGCTCACCCTCATGATAAACGCCGAAATGAAGGTAACATTACATCGGAAGCTTCACCCAGCTGCTCCAAAGCTTTGGCCACCAAGAATGAGCAGTCCATGGCGCCAGGGGTGCTCTTCTAGGAGACGGATTGTAAACCCACACATATTGTGTGCCCAAAAGACAGATTGATTTGTCTTCATTAAGGACTCGTAGCTATCCTGCTGGCCCTGCAATGTGGCTACTTCAGTGCAAGAAAACCCTCAGCATGCACGGGTGGCGGCTTGAGAATGAGAGTGCATGAAGAGCACTTTCGGACACATTAGGCAAGCTTCCAATCCTCAATCGGACATTCACGCCAAGACGCCCCAGCCTCTATCCACACTACTGTAGCACACTACTTCAATACTGGGATTGTGAGCTGCAGCAGCCTTCTCACCACTCTGCTCTTGAAACGCCGCTAGCTCCATCCTCCTTCCAGGCCAAGAAGAAGAAAGTCTGAAACATCAGGCTGCGGCGCGCTGTAGAAGATTTTTTGTCGCATGGGACTTCGCGAGCTCGGACTTCAAGTGCATCCCATTGCGTCCCTAGCAAGAGCCGGCCATGATGGCAACGCAGCACTCGACTTCGTAACCTATCACAGTGCAGGGAGATCACAGAGTGAAATACAGTCCATTCCCTGAGCTCTCTAGGGTGAAACACAAGTACCGTTGGCTGATCAAATTTTATGTGGCAAGCTCATTCGGTTTGAGCACCCTCATCGGCCAGCAACCTGCCAACCCACATCTTCCATCATGAATGGCTGAGTCTTCTCTGACTTCTTTCAAACGACACAGCAGGAGGCTTACGTAGAAGTTCGCAAATGTTGCCAGAGTTCAAAATCCCACCCCTCTTTGCTTTACATACCCGAGCGTTCCTATTCGCCTCAACTGCCTTTGCTGTCCTGCAAGTTGCAATAGGTGTTCACTTGTCTTCGGCCTGTCGTGCTGTGCGATTGTCACGCTGTTTGCTCTGCTCTCTCCTGCATAGTTCTGCAGTTTTCCCGCTTCTTGTGCCTTTCACTCTGCAGCTTCCCTTTTCGCCACCTCCCACGCTGGTATCCCGTCTGCAGCTCTGCAAGGCGAAAACACTGCAACATACTTCATACTTCAACCATATAGAAATACAGCATGCGCCGGGCTGCATTCGCCAACACAAGTTGCTGGTGCAGGTCAGTAACTGATTCATCACGCCTAGGCTGGCCTCGGTGAAATTGCGCTTTTAACATGAGCGGAGCTGATGGGAACACTATGCGGGGGCCTGAATCTGTGCCGACATCCTACACGATGATCTTGCATGGTTCTCCCCTGCCATTCGGTGCCGATCTTTAAAAACAAAGGATGTCTTGCCCACATGCCATGCCATGCCATGCCTTGTCCTCTTCGCCCGCCATCACATGATCGAACATGCGCCGCGTTCGTCTGACAATTCTCCGTTCTGCGAATGCGCATCAGGAATGATTTCAGCGACGGCTGGAGCTGAGTATGTTTTTTCTCGGGCCTGGCGTTTCTTCTCAGTCCAAGCTGTGAGGGAATCGCCCTGCCAAAGCCTGAGGTGGTGAAGCAGCATATTCACTTTTTTGCGCGGTTTTCCTGATGGGTCTTGTCCGATCCTGTCCTAAACCGGCCAGTGCATGCGGAGCAAATTCTCTGGACTGAGTCGCGAACTCCTCCTGCACCTACACGTGCTGTCAGAGTTCGGAAAGACATGGCGCAGAGCTGTGAGGCGTTCGCAAAGCTACAAGATAGCACAATCTCCAATCCCACAAAACAATATCAAGGGCAAGACAGCATCGAGCCTGTCGTTCCTGAAAGCAGAGTCACCGATACTGACTGGGGGTTAGTTGGGAAGAAGGGAATCCAGTCCCTGTATGATACAGCATATCATTCCCTTAGTCCCTACTAAGCAGTAAGAATAGTATGCAGCTCATGGTGGAAGACCCCTTGAAAACAATAAATCCAGGTGCTTGGGCCTGGGTGGTTACCGAGGAACCAGGGAAGATATAACAAAGGGACTATATGGGGAAATATAGAGATAACACAGGGGCTATATAGGGATTATATTCCCATATGGCCTACTAATCAATTAAACCAATGGTAAGCCCTTGAAACGTGTGCAGCTGTGGGGAATGGGAAAACGGCAGTTGGGAAACAGTCGTTGACATCATCCAGGAAAAACTTGTCAAGAACTCGGCACGTAGAAGAACAAGCTTTGCTCATCGTGGTGTGTCCTCCACCTCTGCAAGTCCTCGATTCATGACTGCCTGCAGAAAGTCTGCATGAGCTTTGCCAGGTACTTCAACGACAAACAAAAGGCAGCCAAATGCTCACAAAGAGTGCCCTGCTCAATGCACATTGCCTCCCGCGTCCAAGCCTGCATCACCCCGTGGTCCCAAAAGCGAACCTAGACATTCGGAACTGACAATTAGGAGCCGTCAATTCATCAATTCAACGTGCGCCGCCATCTGCCTCCACATACTGCACCCAGGGTCGTTCCTGGCAGTCCTGGACTCGGGATCATTTCCTGGACAATGCCTGTATCACACGCATTCAACACGCGGTCCGCCAGAACGGAGAGGCCAATCCGAGCAGCAACCTCCGGCGGGAAACCTGTCCACAAGGCATGCCAAGCTTCTGGAAGAGCTAACGGAAATCCACTCCTCGAACTCCACAACCCAAAGCTGGACAACCTTGCACCATTGAAGCAGTTCGACGTCTAACAGAGACATCTCAAATTTTCAAGGGATGCCTTCGTTGCCGCGACGGGCAACAGCACCACTGAACAAGGCCCCATGCTGGAGTTGAGAATTGCACTTTTTACGGACGACCTCCACAAAAAGCTTCCTGCAGCGGGCCGCACCTTCGGCAAGGCCACAGCGCTATCAACACATCGTTCTGTCTTCCTGTCTCTCCTTCATGCGGGCATTGAGGGAGGCCTGTTGGCCACCCCCGGGCTCTACTCCCCGCCCATGTTGGGCTTTGCCTAGTGCACCGCCACCTGAGACGCATCCCCAGAACACTCGTAATCAGTTATGGGGACCAGGAGGTGTTGTGCATGCAGCTAGGGGCCAGGCAGGCTTGGAGCTGGGGCCTGGTACACTTCCTTATCTACGGTGCCTGCATAGCCCCTGGGTTGTCTGCACAGTCCCCTGCGGCTTGTGGGTGAGACTTGGCTTGACCTGAGACCATGTTGCAGGGTGTACGACTTCAGAGTAAACATGCGCAAATACTGGGTGGCTACATTCTGACGGCAATGACATTCAATCCTGGGAGTTAACGTCACTGAGACATGCCCAAAACTTTTTGACAGGTAGACTACAAGGCACCACTTGGGGCGTATGTGAAGAGCATGGTTGCTTCCGCTCAGCTTGGGCTCACAGGAAACAGAACTCTTCTCTCTTTCATTCTTTCTGTGTCTCCTCTTTGCTGGTGAGAGAGCCGTGTGGTGGGCACGCTTGCACTTGCCCTCTACTTAAAGAGCGTTCTTAGGTGAGACTGTTTGAGAACGTGTCTTGCTTTGGTGGAAACAGCAGCTTAGGTGATGACTGTCTCGCTCTGTCTTCTTCTTCTATGAGTTGTGCAGGGCGCAACGCCCTGCTGGGGCTAGGCCCCGAACCCGCGCACAGTTCATGGGTTCGTGACCCCAGCCAGGAGGACCGGAGTACTGCTCATGTAGATGGAACACGAGAACCAGCTCCGTCTCTCTAACACGAGCACCAGTTCTGTTTTCTTCTTCTTCTTCTCACTGCTGTTGTGTTTTTCTTTCTTTCGGGCTATGGGAAAGGTCAGAAGACCTTTCTCGGGCGTCTCTGCCCAGCCCCTCAGTTCTGTCTCTCTCTCTCCGTCTCTCACTTAGACCTAGGCTGGGGTGCTGCATGTGCTGCCCCCCTCCCCATCCCACACGATGCATCCCAAATAGCAGGTCTCACATAACAGATTGCGTGGCACCAACATCATCACAGTGGTGTTCCTGTCCTATACACCGCCCTCCTTTAGTTATCCGACGACTTTTTGACGACCTCGCCGACAACTTAGCCGGGAGCACTGACTGAGCTGGGAAACGATGCCAGAAATAACCTCTGAAAAGGCAGCAACGTGGAACCGTGAAGTTTGATGCGTCTCGATCTGTAACTCCTGAACTCTGCCAGCTACCTCCAGAGGGAGGCTAGCCACCTTTCCTGTAATTGAACCTGGCAAGTTGACTCAGCAAGTATTGGGGCATGCAGCCCGGCAGCACGAAGCCACCCGTTGGCGTCATCTTTTTGAAAGGGTCCATCAATTCCCGGCGCCTGCCATAGCTGTTGCTCTTTCTCCACGTTCCCCATCGTGCTCGCAAACTCCAACCCCGTCTCCCCATCGATCATTGTCACTGTGGTGTCTCGTGGCTCCCTGATGGACGGCTTTCAGATTCCTCCCACAGGTCGCCACCGCCACCGCCGCTTGACCGCAGCCGCTGTGCTAATGCTGTTCCACAGGGCTAGGGTTCTTATGATGCAGATTCGAGAACTCACGTTGAATTTGCGGGAGGGATTTGGTTTGGACTCACACTCAGAAAGTGGTCCTGTTTCAAACTTAAATCAAGCTCAGTTCCCAATGGGCGGTCCAACTCTCTCAGTGCATTTCAATGTCCAGTGTACTTATCTATGGGGTTGGCTGGTCTTGCTCAGCTTATGCCCTTGAGAAAGCCGCTGGCGAAGAAGAAGGCGGGCCTGGTTGGAAACACAACACGCAACATCCGGAGGCCCAAAACTCCTCCCAAAAGTGCTCTCTATGTCCCCGCTGAAACCAGTAACTAGCGTAGGATCCATGATGATCCACGACTCATGTTTCAATTTATTGTTGCAAGGCTCGTCGTCTTTGATTCACTTCCACCACCTTGTACCGGCCTGCCACCTTCACACGCAACAACACCCCAACCACGTTCACGCCAAAAGGCTTACCCATCAACCACGCACAGGACACATCCCAGTGTACCTGCAGCTGGCGCGGTCTAAGGCTAGTGCAGAGGGACCCGGCATCGAGGTCTGCAGCCGATTGTAGGATACCTGCGCACATGAGTACGAAGCCTCCCAAATATATCTCCAGAGCAAAGCCGCAAATATTTCTATTGTGAATCTAAACCGTAAACCCTAAATAACAATTTCATGTTCTTTACAATGATCCCTGTTATATAGCCCCTATATAACCCCCCTTGTTGGGAAACAAAGATGCAAACACTTAAATCACGTCACCATAACATGGGTATATGGTACGTATTAGGGTTTCGTTATTATTTCCTTATTACAATAACTTGATTGAAGTACCCTCAATCCAAACCCTAAATCCTAAACCCTAAACCCTAAGTAGCTCAAGCATCCCAAGCTCTTGGTTGATCTTCAGTTGCCTTCTGGCTTGCCTTCCCATCCAAATTAAGAATTTAAATTCAATTACTAAAATAAGGAAACCCTGATATTTAGGAGTTTAGGGTTACTATACACGGAATCCTTATTACTTATCTTGACAACAACCCCCGAAAAGGGGAGCTTGGTCGTGGCTGCGCACTGCCTGTGTTATTATGCGTGTTCTGTCTTGGTTTCTGCAAGTGATATGTTGCTCGGATCGAAAAACTGCTTGTCGTCCCCAAACAAGGTTTTACCTGAGCATCTGCCGAAAGCACTCGAAAAGATTACATTTTTCGTCTGGCACAAGTTGCCCCATGAAATTTCGGAGCAACTGGACACTGAGAAGCTCAAACGGCCAAGTATCTTGAAATCTCATGAGATGGGTTGGCAAAGTTATTGTCTTTCTTTGGGTCCCTAGTATACTGCACTTCCTACTATTAAGGATGCCCGGATACCCCGAAAGGGACCATAATTTTGACAACCCACCCTGCCTGAAACGATCCACGTCCTGCTGGAGAACCGAAAGGTCAATACAAGGGAATACAAGGGCTATCCGCCGACCGTTGAGGGCATTTGGATGGTCTCACAACACTCTTTCGTTCAGCCTCAAAACATCCGCTTGTATTTTTCGGGGAGTCCCCACATCCGGCAGCCGTCTGAGCCGGCTTCGACGCCATCCGCAAGGCCCCACCAGGAGTTTTTCTCAAGGATGCCCTGGGGTCCGGGCCGCGGGTGCCCACCCTTGGCCGGAGAGAGTCTGGCACATCCGCAACCGTGGCATGCAGTGTTGCAACACGTTAGCAGCAAACAGCAGGCGCCCAAGGTCCTGCGGAGTCCCGGCAGCCTGGCTTGAACTTCTCTCGTTTGTTCCCCTTGGTCTCGTGGCGCTGAGAAAACAGGCAGCGCGACAAAAATTCGAACATAACGCAAAGCTGTTAGTTTGATCGCAGCGCCGCTGCTGCGACAGGCTGCGCTGGCATCTGCGCCGGCGAGCGCCATTGGTAAGCCCTAAGAATTGAAACGAGTTGTTGATGCATTTTTGTGGCTTCCCCCAGGCAATGGAGGGCTTGGGCAATTCTATTCCGGCCACTCCCCTCACATGAACGCTCCGGAACTCCACTGATCAGTGCGCAAAGGACAGCAGGAAAGTGCGAGCGACTCTTTTCCTGCTCAGGCGTGGGGACGCGCAGGTCTCGAACTGCAGACCTACTCAAAATGTCTGCCATTTACGAAATAGCAGAACTACCCTCCCGGCAGAACTGCTGGCGAGCTGCCTCAAACAGTCTCGGATCCAAAATCGACCTTGAGATTGAACAGATCCTGAACTTTCCCGATCAGGATCCAGAGCAGCCACATCACCCTTCCTCCACCGTGATCACGGTCTCACTCACGAGCCGGCGGTGCGCACATGTGAAATGCCGGCAGAAATGACAGGCTTCGAAGATGCGATCACATCGTGTGCAGAGCGGGGTGCGCTGACCACGGCACCACTGTTCACTTGGCACTCGAACGGCTGCAAAGCACGGGATCCCGTGCACACCATCGCAGTAGCATCCTGTCATAAGACCGCAATCAACACAAGCTCGAAAAAGATCAGCATGAGTTCCCGCTGCAAGAGCTTGCCATCCCCCTACGTCGCGAGCTGCCGTGGCGAACTCGGCGGCGAACGCACCGTCCATGAGGGGATGGGTGAGTGGGATCGGATAGGCGATCGCCTCCTCCAACGGTTTGCCGCGCCTGTCGAAGATTTCTTTCTCTTGCGCTTTCAGAGCCGCTTCCAAGGAAGGGAGCGCCACGTTGATCCGGAACGAAACCCATTTAAGAGCTGTCCTCAAAGAAGGGAGCCGAGCCCAAGAACAACCCGTACTTAAAAACCTTATCATCAGTAATTGGGTAAAGAGGCACGGAGCTGCGAGCGGCCCACATCTCGAATTTCTCGAACTTCCGGATGTGGTTCGCCATTGCGCGGTCTCCGGCCTGATCGGCTATGTCTTGGAGTCTCTTTGCCCACTTTGGCTTTTCGCCCGGCTCCAGATCCAGCAGCGGCGTAGAAGTCGCCGAGGAACTGGCCGCCGCTCGAAGGAGCACCTTCGCCTTGGGAGCTGCCAGCGCGCGAACTGCTCTGCAATGGAGCCCTCCAGCCTTCGTCTTGGAACTTTCGCGCACCGAGCGAAGCCCATCTGGTACAGCCGAGGGACTCCGTGAAGACTGACTGCGCCGCTCGAGCGAACAACCAGAACTGCTCCAGCATTTGTGTTCGCTGCTGGAGCTGCTCATGAGCTGAAGGCGCCGAGGCGGAAGTCCATTCGAAGACCTTGGCAGCGAACTGCTCCTCCGAGGTCACATCGACCGCCAGCACGAACTGAAGATTCACCAGCCGGGTCGAGGCGATCGCCTCACGAAAGCCAAAACAGGGGTATGAAAGGACCTTAGATGTCCACCGATCGGCGGACGCCGCTTCTTGCAGCACCCTAGCCTTGAACGGAAGCTGCTGGTTCTCCCAAGATCAATCAAGCTTCCCTGGTGCATCCAGCGCATTAGACAGGTACACACTGCGTTCAGACTGCAGACCTAAAGCACAGCAATGATCATGCTCACAAGAACTGTTGCGCATCACGATCATGCGAAACGACATGTGATCACAGACTGAATACCTTGCTACAGAGCCATACACTTTTTGACTGCCAGCGCAAAATCCGAAGCACTCAAGATCAGGCTCAATGGGCGAAATGAGCACGGCCCAGGAGCTTCCCGCCCCTTTTCCAAAAACTTCGAGCAACCACTTTGCGATCACGGACCAGTTCACCTGCAGCAGCCTGCATGTTCTCCTGACCAGGCGGGTCCTCGCTGTTGAACAAAAATTAGCTCCGTGTCCTGCTGCTCGACCTCGGAGACCACCACTGTCGACGTCTGGGGCGCGAGCTGCCCCAGAAAAAAAGAGCCACCCGTCATCTTCGCAAAGAGTGCCGGCTTGAGCTTGGCCGTGGACCGAGCAAAAGTACGATCATCTCTGGCCACGTCCCTGTTGGGATCAGCCACAGGACCATGCTCCGATCCATCTGAGTCGCCCTGCACGACCGTGGTGTTGATGGCGCCGGACGCGCGCTGATCCATCTCCATCTTGTTGTGGTTCTGAACCGCCCCCGCTGAGCTGGAAGCCTGATCCATGGCGGCGATTCCCGCTTCCTGAGCTGCCGAAGACCAGGCCTCCATAGAAAGAGCTGAACTTGACGGCCGACAGCACCTTCATGAAAAATGGCAGCGAGCACTGCCACAGGCACCACCACCACCGGCTCCCGCTCAAAGAGCTTGCTCTCCCCGACTTGGGCTCGCGAGCTGGCCACCGCCTCGTTCCACCAATCTTGGTGGACTGCTGCGAGCTGGGCAAATTGCTGTTCTGGACCTTCAAGCTCGCTGATTCCTCACCCGGCCGATCGTCTGGATGAGGGTCGGCCCACTGATGTGGGAGACCACGAGCCAGGTGGAGGTCCTGTTATTGGCATCGCGATAGCGAAATTCCACTCTCTGTCCGCATTTTTTGTCGATCGCATCTAGAGAGACGCAGTCGCAGACACGGAGTTCGAATCTCGAGCGAGCAGAATCTCCAGCAACGACAACGCCTTTCGGACCAACGCTGTAGGTCTGACCTCCACATTCGAAAGAGAACATGGAAACGTGCCAGCTTGGAAAGGCGGACACGACTACTGATTGCCGAACTCGCCCTTTGCAGACGTCCCTGATGAAGAACTCGTCCGCGAACTGCTGCTAGACCGAGACGTCCGTGCCGCCCTGAACCCGCGGAACATCCAGTGGAACAAGATCTCGTTCCCGTTGTAGATCTTCACGTCTGTATAGCTCGGGGAACTGTCACGAAGGACTGGCCAGCTGAAGGGTTGAAAGGCCTCATGGGCGAGCGGCCTGGCCATCTCGCGAAGAGCAACAACTGGTACCCTGATGTAGGGGGCATGACATGATCACGCTCAGTCAGAACGTTGATGGAACTGGCTGAGTTCGTCCTAATCTCCTTGACCAGCCAGGCCTGAAAGGGCGAAACTATGCGATCATCTCTAGATCGGCGGGCTTCTCCTTCGCACATCATGACCGATTCCAACCACTCTGGGAGCTTGACGTCGTACGGGTCATGAGCTGGTTGTGGTTGAGGAAAGGAACCTCGGTCGCCACGGCGATAGCCGCCTCCATAGCCACCACCATAGCCACCACTTCCAGATCCACCTCCCCACTGTTCTTCTCCCCAGCCAGCCATGATCAGCTGAGCTAGCTATCACCCAGGCCCTCACGACCTGAAGGGGGAGAAAATTGAGCAGCAAGTGCCAAGCGATCGCTTGGAACCAAAATGACCACGGAGATGCACATGCTTGATCAAGCTTCGCAACAGAATTGTCGACATGTGCATCACTGAAAAATGAACAACATGCAAACTGATCTCATTTGTTGGAAGTGACCCCCCTACCCTAGCCTACCAGACCGTGGTAGGAGAACCAGCATCATCAGCACCATTGGGCCTTCGCTTCTCACTTTTGGACACCTCAAGATGTTTAGGGTTTTGGAGGGGGTGCTAAATCCGGTATCAAGAGGGAAATGGGGGGCCTGGACAAGCCCCATGATGCTCATGATGCTGGCTCTTTGGGGGCGCCCAAAATGCGCTTTAAACTCTAGCAAAACGCTCACAAGACGCACTGTCAGCAGTATCTGTGGCTCGAAACACCAGCAGGGAACACCAAAAAACCTGCTGTTGACAGCACTTGCGCTGCATGATAGGCGTGCCCATGAGTTACTCGGGCCAAACGCGGCAGGCGTTCTGCATAGTTTTTACGAGCTTTTTGCCAGTATTCCCAGCACTTTGGAGTCTCCTATACTACCCTTGTACATCACCTCAACCTGCGAAATATGTCATATATGCACAAAATATGGAAAAATGGCTTCTGAACTGCAACAGGAGGCCGCGCCCTGGATGGTTTCTGGTAGGCTTGCTACCCAAAATGCGATCCCAATTGTGCTGATGGCATGCGAGCATCCTCCTCCCGTTTTGGGAAGTAAACGGCCGTCCAACACCAAAAACTTGCCAGGCATCAAGAAATACACTTCTCCTGATCAGGAGCATCAGCAGGGCTGGGGTGGGCAGGTATGACATGATGGCTGGGTGGGCCAGGGAGGTACCAGGCCAGCACTTGCCGCCAGGCCCGAAATGTAGGGAATAAATGATGGAAATGGAAACTATTTTTTATTTTTGGGTATATACGTTTAGGATGATGATGGAGAATCAAAGGGAAAAGGACATGCAGCCTAGTATGTACAGTAGTACAATATTGTCGTGGGATTCGATGGCAATTTCCCTCAATACGGGGATCCTGACATCAACCCCACAATCCTGTGCTCCTCACTTCTGGGACTCACAGCAGGTTCTCCTAATCTTGGGAAACCCTATGCGTTTCAGAGCAGCTTCAGAATTCTGCCTATGAGAACGCCAGCAGGGCGGGAGAGTCAATCACGGAAGTCCATTTGGACAGGCTTTGCTGCGTATTCCGATCGTTTCCATGCAAACAGTGCAAGCTAGAAGAATTAAAAAGCTAGACACAATGTTACCGACAAAGCCTTGGATGTGAACATTCAGGGCGCAGTGTTGGACAAATGCAACCTTGCAGCCTGATCTCAAAACTTTGTGTCGCAGAGACGTTGCGAGTCAAAAAAGAAAGCCTGCTGGTCAAGCAAGGACTGTACAATGTGCTTGCGGCTACCTCTCACTTGTCTGGGCAGTTGCGCCAGCTTTCTCTGAAGCATACAACCTCATCACTGAATCGCGGAGGTTAGCCCGGCTTCCTTACACTCAAATGCAGCCCCTATTTTCAATCCCACAAATGGTGGTTACCGAAGTGCAAATCCTCAGACATCCTCGACACAGGCCATAAGGTGCAGCTGGCAAGCATGACCCAAGTCAGTCCAATCCGATCTCCTGCACAAACAGCAAGACGGTGTTGCAAAACGGGATCTAAAAGAGGTCCTCCCGATATCGCTGAAGATTGATCTCGCGCTTCAGGGTCTCGCTTGTGTCCTCAGGAGGTCTAAACACGCAGGACTATGCAGCGCTGCATCGACGAGGTGCCTGAAATTCACTCTACACTGTGAGACAGGTCTCTGGCATCACGTCACGGCCGACAAGATGCCGGCGCTCCAGCAGCAGCGCGTTGCGTTCAGTCTGGCTTGCGGACACTCAAGCTGGACTAAGTTGCACTATACATACTATACATCTCTGGAGATGGAACGACATTGGCATGTCTAGCAAATGTATAAGCAAGGGGAATTGCGGTTGCCGGGCTTGCAAGAGATTGCTGTCGGATTTGCCGACAAAAGCGGCAAGGCCAGGCGAACGAAACTAGACTGCAAAAGCGTCAGCACATGCATCTCAGTGCTCAGCATGTCACGGCTTTGAGGCCTCAATTTCTGCCAGCCGTTGATCCAACGCGGCTAAGCGCTCGGAAAGCATGCTGTCCTCTAGTGGCGTGGTCGGCCTTGGATACTTGCTGCTCCGTGGAAGGCACGACTTGGGCTTGTGTTGGCAGACCAAACGATTTGAGATTCAGCCCTCAAGTTGATTCTCTCAAGACTCCGATTCGACGTCTGGCGCCGGAATTTCGGAGACGTCACGCGGTCCTCCCCGAGCTTGGCATCCTGCGTTCAGCTCAGCTCTACAGGTCACTTTCTTCCAAAAACCAGATTCTCAAAAAGGTCAGAGACGATGACAGACACACGGGCAAAGGAAATCTGGCAGGTTAATGTGGACCCCCTGCATGGGAAGGAACAAACGGGTCAAAGTCAAGAACGCTGATCATGCTCTTGCAGTTCTTGCAGCTATGCTATGAACGTGAGATAATTACCACTACATGATACTACATGTGTGCTTGGTATCAAGGGACCTGTGGTCCAAGGTGCTTGCGCAAGCTCGAGAAAACAAACACCAAAAAAAAACAAAAAACGCCACGTGCAAGCGGGACTCTCTCTCGCGCTTCTGCTGAATCTCTCGCCACATGCGCTTCACAAACATCGGATACTCTGTCAAGGACAGATAGTCATTGAGTGCCTGAAGGACTGACATTCTGCTCAAACCACGCCTGCTTGCACAGGCAAAGGAAAGTCTTGCAAAGTCCAGGGGTCGGGCATCGGATTGCATAGCCGCCTCGATGAATTCTTGTTCGAAAGTTTTGGCCTGGACGGCACCCCACAGCATCAATGCCTGGCACATGAGCTGCGCTTGAGTCTCAATTCCTGAGTCCTGAGTCCTAGCAAACCGGAAAGTGTTCCAAGGAATCTTCTTCCATGAGCTTGGACATGCGAAAACGCTTGCGACTTGCGCCCTTCTATCACCTGCAAAAGACGGGCCCTCCCTGCCAGACTCCAGCTGCATTCGAGCCACATTCTGCACTGTCAACTCTGCCTCAGCCTCGAACCTCTTGAAAATCTGAAACCTAGGTTGTCTCTGCCATGAGGCTGATGGCCAGCGCTTTCAGCCCATGCAGCACTACTGGACCACACTTAACTCAGGCAGGATCCATTCAGCTTTCTGCTCTGCAGATCCAACATCATCACTGCTTAGTTCTTCAAAGTGCCGACGGTGCTCCTTGGACGCTGGCACACGCCGAATGCACTGAGCAAGGCGAGGATGTAACCGTACTGCATTCTTGGCTGCCATACATTGCCAACATCTAAAGATGAAGGTCTACTTTGTGTCTATTCTGTCGACCAATTCACCCAAGAGCGCGATCCCAGAGACAATTGGCATGTCCAAAACGCCAATCTCTTTACCGAGCAATCAAATCTAGATGGTACTGGAGGTCGTCCAGCCAGCACCCAACAACACCCCTGCTTCCTTCCATTGCTTCCACTGGCTTTGCCTGGCCCCCTCGTCTAAGAAAACCTGAGACATGCTCAACAAGTTGCAATCTGACGCCCTCTTGCACTGCTTTGTCGGATTCGTACACACCCTGTCATCCTAGAAACATTCTTCTAGATGCTCTGCTGCACCCAGGCTCGGCAAAGAATCGCTCGGCGAAGGAGTTGCACTCCTCAGAGAAGAAGCCCGCACGTTCCCAAAGAGATTTTTCACTTCTAAAGCATAGCCCAGCGCATCGTCAGAACACTTCAAGGCGAGAATCTGAAGCAACGAGCTGGATGACGTCACGCTGCCGGGTCGCCATGCGGACAGCAAATACACGCGGGCAGGGCTTTGCAGAGTTGTGAATCTAATGGCTGCGAAACTGATAACGTTCACATACATCCAGACAAGGGACAGGTTCGATCCCGACCAATGCCGGGAGCAGCTAGCCAAACACCTCGCCTGCGAAGCTCTTTAGGAGGAAGTCTGCTGCTTCATCTTCATCCACCGCGTACTCCTCAGCTTGCACTCAGGGGACATAAAATCTCCTGGGGTGCGGGTGGGGTCAGGGGACACTCTTGCATCATGAACTGCATAATATGTGTGACTCAAGAATAACTCAAGGTCCCTCCCTCTCAGATACTCTCAAGCGGCTTCTGCAAAAACACATGCGCTACGCGTGCTGCGCAGCTGTGCATGACGTGACTTCGCTTGGTCAAGGTCCGTGGGCTACACAGTCAGTAGTCAGGACAGGCCGTAGTCAGGCACCCCAGTTTGAGGATGACAAAGGGGGGGCCCTACTCCCATGCTACAGGTAGCAGTTTCTACAGAAGCCCCCACCCCACATCGGCCATTATCTGGTTCCAAGAACCTTGCAAGCCCTCTACCTCTGGAAACATTATAATATATTGGCGTTATATATGGAATAATGGAAAATAAAATGGAAACTTCTATCGTATATTATTGGGAATAATGGAAAATAAAATGGCAACTTCTATAGTGCATTATTGCGAATGATGCAAAATAAAATGGAAACTACTATAGTATAATGGTGGCAACTAGAGGGGTTGCCAACCACAGGTAGTGGTTCAGTGGTCAAGGACCAAACTTCGAGGATGAAGAGTACTTCTACTATGATTCGTAGCAGTAGTAGTGGTAGTAGAAATAGTAGTAGAAATAGTAGTAGTAGTAGTAGTAATAGTAGTAGTAGTAGTAGCAGTAAAAGTAATAGTAGTAGAAGAAGAAGTAGTAGTAGTAGTTGTTGTTGTTGTTGTAAAAGTAGTAGTAATAGTAGTAGTAGTAGTAGTAATAATCGTAGTAATAATAATAGTAGTAGTAGTAGTAGTTGTAGTTGTTGTTGTTGTAGGAGTAGTAGTAGTAGTAGTAGTGGTGTACTACTATGACTACTATTACTATTGCTACTACTACTATTACCACCACCACCATCACCACCACTCCTATTACTACGACTCCTCCTCCTCCTCCTCCTACTACTACTACTACTACTAACAGTGTAGTCGTAGCAGCAGCAGCAGCAGCAGCAGTGGCACCACCCGTCGGATATCCGACGGTGGGTTCATACGCTATTCGTTGACCTCAAACGGTGTTTTCGCTTTGCTAATTCCTCGGTTTGCTGATTTGCTCAAAGAAGTTGCCGGGGCCATAACACCTGTTGTGGCACAAGGTGCGTTTTTGCGTTTACCTGAGGGATTCACTCATTTTCACACATTCTTGCATTTTCGCTGTGGAAAGTCCACCATTTTCCGTAAACCACTGCATCCACTTCTTAGCATCTGCGTTATAACCCAAATGCAAACATCCAGGTCACCACAGCATCCATCTCTTTGCATCCGGATAACCAAATTGCTGAGGTTACCACTGCAACCCTTTGCGTGCGGATGACCAAGATGCTAGCTGCTAGCATCCATGATACCACCGCATCCATTTCTGTGGATCCGGATAACCAAGATGCTTACATCCATGTTACCACAGCACTCGTCTTTTGCATCCACCACCGCATACATTTCTTTGCACCCGGATAAGCAAGATGCCAACAACATCCATGATACCACTGCATCCCATCCAGATACCAAGATTCTAGCATCCATGTTACCACAGCATCCAGTTCTTTGCATCCGGATCACCAGGTTGCTGACATCCATGCTACCACTGCATCCATTTCTTTGCGCCCGGATAACCTAGATGCTAACATCCACGCTACCTCCGTTTCTATCTATGTTGCCACTGCATCCATTTCTTTGCATCTGGGCAGCTGCTCTGGCAGTGCTCCGATTATGATTATGCCCCCGATGACAGAAGGACATCTCTCCTGGCAATTGCAGAGTGCGCAACGGCGCTTCTTCTGCTTGCCATAGCTACGCCCTGAAACCAAGGTACGAGGCATCCTGGACCAGGAATGCTGCATTTCAAAACTACATGTTTTGGCCCTGGCAGATGCCCAAAGACCATACAACTTCCTATACTTCTCACATTCCATGTTACATGGCAGGGATTCCTGCATTTCGCAATATTCACGAACAATTCCATCATGCCAAAAACATACCGTCAGATATCCGACGCGTGCATAGTAGAGGTAATAACAACAAAAAACTAACAGCGGCAAGGACATGTTCGATAACAATGACGACTACATAATAGCACTGACTTCCCTCATGACTGCCCGGCTCCCTCCACGACGGAGTAGCATGTTGGTTACTTGGGGTGACTATGCTGCAATTATCCTCACTCAAGGGAGGATGTAAGATAGCCAACTGATGGCTTGTTTCGGCTGAACTAGGCATGAGCAGCAAGCATGCACACAGGCGTTGACAGTTACTTGAAGTTTCATAGGCAGATATGTGCAGGCTTGCGCCTACTCTGACTTGAGTGGAACATGTAAGCATCCTACCTTTGACCTAAATACCTATGGCCTGTGGACCTCAAGCTGGGGTCAAAACTGCCGCTCTGGCAGCAGGCATAGGACGCGGATCTCTTGAATCAGGATGCCCTGGCAGTTTCTGCCTACCTCAAAACCACGGGTCTAAGCTGTTCAAAGAGATTTCCCACCTGGTACGGCAGTGTGCAGAACGTAGCGTGCCTACAGATCATGGCAGTTACAGCGAGTCCATGCACGATATGACCGGAAAGATCATGCCATCATGGTGACCATCGTCCCGAGAACAGTTGAAACTGGTGCCGTGTCCCGAAATGCTCTTCTTGCCAAACTCTTGCACTGTTAGCACCGCCTGCTTTAGCATGAACGTGCTAGACTTGCTCTCACCAGCTTGTTGGCACGATCGGGTAGGAGATGAAGTAAAAAGTCCACAAGGACACGGCTTGTTGCTGTGACTGGTGCCTAGCATATGGGTCTGGAATTGTTTGGGGAATTTATTTTTTTTCTGGTGAATTGTTTTTGTTTTTATCCTTTGGGAGTGCAAATGCGTGGACACTCCACGCCAGAGCTCGATTTTCACTACAAGTGTGAGGTTGGATTTTGAAAAGTGCCCACAGTCACAGGGATTGTGCACATGGGGGTTGGGGTCGCGATCCTCGTGACTGTCGTCGCTTTGGACCCTTGGATCCTTTTGGAGTTTGACAAGCGTCAATGAGCGCAGGACTTGCGGGGATAGCAATCGCGATCCTTGCAACTGGACCTTCGGACTCTCTCAGACTTTGAAAACATTGAAGATCACCAGGATTATAGGGGTCGGGCCCGTCATCCTCGTAACTGTCGTCCCCTTTGCACCCTCTGATCCTCTTGGATTGTTTCAATAAGGGTAATGCAATTTTGCAGCATCTTGTCTGGCGCAGAGGCTGCAGATTTTAAGTTACAGTGTTGGGAGCCCATCTAGAACTTGCAAACACTGTCAACTATAGCATTTGGAGATCATCTAGGGTTTGTAGACAGAACTACAGCATTTGAAGCGTTTTAGAGCTTGCAAATATTGTAAAAGACAGCACGCAAGCTCTGAATTTTGGGGATTTGCCGATGTATGTTGCAAATTACAACATTCGGAGCTTTGCAATGAACATAAACACTGCGAGTTGCAGCATTTAGAGAGATTTTCATTTGCACGTTTGGATGGTGCAGCGTCCCTTTTCACACAATATGATCCGCATGATCCTCCCTTACCCTCCATGGCGATGACATGTTCTTTTAATATATACTGTAAGCAGTGATGGCTTCAACGAAGCGGGGGGTTGGGGGGGCGCAGGCCCCCCATTTGCCCCAAAAAGGATCCGCGCAACCTTGCCCTATTGCAAACATGGTGGTGACTTGATTTTTTATTGTAAGCATGGATGGCTTTAAAAAAACGGGCAGCCCCCCCCCATTTGCAAGCAAAATGATCCACACAATCATCATGGTGATGACATGATTTTTGAGGCACGGACTTTCGGGACATGATGCTTGTGCTTTTGTGCACGCATTTATGGCTTTGAAAAAGGGGAGTTGGTAGAGGGGCGGCCCCCTCCACTTGCACACAAAATGATCCGCACCACAAGCCACTACTGCAAACATGGTGATGACATGATTTATTTTACCGTAAATGTGGATGTCTTCCAAAAAAGGGGGGGGTGTCGCCATTTGCAAATAAAATGATCCGCACAACCTTGCCCTACTGCATGCACGCCAATGACACTTTTTTGCCGTAAGCATTGATGGCTTTCTGCTGGTGGCAGCTTTGCTGAGAATGCATTGCTCGGTTGCATCTCAATAGTACTACGAATAAGAAAACGGCCACTTCAACTCAGCCAGTGCGGCAAGCAAAAATAGGACGCAAAACCTACCCCGTGTTGGGGGGTCGCCGTGCAACCACCCCCATCCACAACAGCACCCCCCGCCTTGTGGCGGCAGCTTTTTTTAGTGCGTGTGGCGTCTCAAATGGCATTCTGGATACGAGAAGTTCAAGTACTCATGACCGCAGATCCCCAAAAAGCCAAAACACACAACATAGCAAACAAGAAGCGGAAAGGAGAAACAAACAACAAAAAGGCTAAAAGCAGCCAGCTGGAAGCAGAGTGTAGTCAACAAGCAAGAAGAAGCTAAAACCCGCACGGTGGAGGCACAAAGCAAAGGCTGAAAGCAGCAAGCAGACCGTAGGCAGCAAGAAACAGGAAGCAAAAATCAGCATGCAAAACGCAGAAAGCAAGAAACAGAAAGAAAAAACAAACAGCGGAAAGCAACAAGCAGAAAGCGAAAAGCAGAAAGCACACAGCAGGAAGCCAAAAGCAGAAAGCAAAAAGAGAAAGCAAAAACAGAAAGCAAAAAGCAGAACGCAGGAAGCAACAAGCAGAAACCAAAAAAAACTGCAACCAGAACCA